TCTCTCTCTCTCTCTCTCTCTCTCTCTCTCTCTCTCTCTCCCCATGGCAGAGCAGATGACCCCGCGGAGCAAGGAGCGGTGAAGGCACGTGGGAAAGATTCACTAAAGGCAAAGATCCGTAGCAGGCAGGCAGGCTCATTGGAGGGGAGGGCTCCGAGGTGCCCCACTGAAAACGGGGCTAGCAGGCTCTTCTGTTTACCTGGAATGAACTGAAGTCTCTCAACTCCAGGCAGGCACATGGAGCATCCCGGTTACACTAGAAGCTGAAGAAATGAGGACCCGTCTCTCTCTAGTGCATGGCAGCAAGATGGATGGGCTTGCGGAGAAGGCATCACCATGGGACTCTGGAGAACTGGGTTCAACCCCCTTTTTGCTGCACACTGCCTGGGTTACCTCAGGAAGAAAGTTGTGTGAGCCCTGGGCTACCCTCCCACCTGTGAATGAGGCAATAGCAGCCTTCTCCCCCACTCTTTGGGGCAGGGACAGCCCTGCTGTAGGGGTACATACAGCCCCAGGCACAATGGGACCCTGATCTGGCTTGGGGCCTCTAGGTGCTGTTGTGATACAAATAAAGGTGAGTTGCAGGGGCTAGCCCTGGGATGTGGGGCGGGAGGGGGAGGAGCCTGGCACATGGGAAATGAGAGGTTACCCCAATCTTTTCCAAGTGTCACCCGGCAGCTGTTGCCACGTGCGCTCAATGCCACAGCCCAGTTCTAACCGGCCGCCGAGTGGGACCCGATCACAGAAATGCTGGTGTCATTCTGACGACAGCAAGCCATCCCTGCCAAAGGCCACGGTGCTCCTCCAGCAGCGGCAACGTGGCACGTGCCTCCTGCCAGTCTTCCCCGTTGTCATCACAAAGGAAAAGCGACCGAGGCCCAGGAGAAACGGGATTCCAATGAGACAGAGTAATTCCACTGATCGCCGTGGGTAAACCAGAGCCGCAGGGCTGCTACGCGCATGGAGCCAGCCGGTCTGGCGGACGCAGACTGGCACTGCTACGGCAGCAAGGCTGTCTGCACCTTCCTCGGCTCCCCCAGGGGCATTTGCTCACCCTTTTTAGATTAATCTAATTACAAGAGTTCTGAAGCCCATTAATGTTTCTCAGTGGAGTGAGCATCTCCTGGCTGCCGGCTCCTTTCTGGGGCCTGGCTGGGTGCACCCCCAACCACACCACGGCAGGAGCAGCTTGGCTGTTTTTAAGGAGGCCAGCCCCCTTCCCCGGCCAGCCCCCACTCCCAGAAAGGAGGCAGGGGAGAGCGAGACCAAGCAGCAGCCCTAGATGACAGCACAGCGCTTGATTCCTCTCCCTGCGGCTGTTGGTTTAACCTTTGTAAGCCTGGCAGGAATTCAGAGCACTGCTCCAGCGCACAGCTCGCCCCTCCTTAAGCCTGACAGTGATCAGACAAGGCCCTGCTGTGACTGTCCCCCCGGAAGCCTTCGCAAGGGCAGTCTCTGGCTCGGCCCACCCCTCAATCAAAGCCTCTGGCAGACGCTCACACTTGCATCCTCCCAGCGCTCTTTGCAGGAGCTGGGCAGCTTCACCCTCCCTCCAGTGACAAGGGGGGGGACACTCAAGGCTGCATTTGCCCCTTGTGGTCACTCTCCACTATCTGCTCCTGAGCGTTCGGGTAAAAAGCGGATGGAGTCAGGACTGCCCTGCTGGGTGTGGGGGCCCAGGCCGGAGTTAGGAATGACTTGAGACAAAGAGGTATCGGTCAGTTGTTTGATCTTGTCTTGTCTGACTCACCCAGTTAGAAGGCCACAGGGAGACAGAATGGGACAGGGAGAGAGGTCTAGAAACCCCCCACTAATACTCAAAGCAAGGAGCACAGCATGTCATGGGAAACTGGAGAACCCAGGGAAAGTACATTACACAGATCTAGAGAAGGACTTGGGGGGGGCGACAGAGACCGCAGGGAAGTTTGGTTTTTTCCCTGACTTTGCTGAGAGACCTTAAGGGGCTTCAGGACTTGTGGGGGGGAGTTCACCTTCCACTGCAGCATCGGGGGCATGAGTCACTTGCAGGTTTAAACTAGTATAAATGGTGGATTCTCTGTAACGTGAAGTCTTTACATCGTGAGGACTTTGAGGACTTCAGTAACTCAGCCAGACATTAGGGGTCTATTACAGGAGCAGGAGGGGGTGAAGTTCGGTGGCCTGCGATGGGCAGGAGATCAGACTAGATGACCAGGATGGTCCCTTATGATCTTAAAGTCTATGAGCTAAGGACACAATAGCATGAAGCGAGCACACGGTTGCTGAACTCAGCTGAATGCCCTGCGTATTCTGTGGGCACAGGTTTGATCCAGGACTTTAAATCTTTTCCATCCCTGACTCCAGCGAGTCAATTAATTAATTAATCCACCCACAACATATTCCCGTAGACCTCTTGAGCAGGTGATTTAGTGACTCTTGCTTCTCAACTAAAAAGGTCACACACTGAGCCAGCAAGGGAACCCAGGAGTTCTGACTCCCAATCTCCTACCCTAACCACTAGGCAACGCCATCTGAAGACCCCTTTATAAAGAATGACAGGGGAAGGGAGAAATGCTCTTCAGAATCCTTTATTACATCTGAAGTTAAACGGTGTTAAAAATTCCATGATCCTCATGGGAAACGAGAGGCATCAGCGCTGCCTCTCGCTTTAGCACAGGCTAAATGTAGCCATGTTGAGGAGGACACAAGAGAAGAGCAAAACAAGTTACACATTAAATCGCAGCCCCATGCCAAGAATTCAGACACGGGAAGAGTTAACAGAGGGGCCTGGTGACAGACTGGGCTTTACAGGAATTCCAGGAGACTGCTGCGCGGTGAGGGAGATGCTGGTATATAGAACCACACACTTCATTACCCTCCACTTAGCTGCTGATGACAAGGCTTTCGATAAAGACAGCATGATGGATTCCAGCCGCAGTAGGTGACCTGCTGCTCTCAGCCCCTTCCGACATGCTTTGGGGCTCTGCTCCCGCTATCGCCACTTTCTACTCCCCAATCTCCCCAAACACATGGTCGGGAACCTTTCTCCGAAGAGGCTGGAAAGAGGAAGCGTGTCTCATCTAATAGAGATTCTTCCCCTGGGCAGCTCTGGTTTGCTGGTGCCACCATCACTCACGACAGGCTGACAGGAGCCCAGATTGATGGATGTTTAATGGGAAGAGATGCCTGCAGGCAATCTGGTTGCATTGGAAGCAGTACTCCTGTATCCCAGTTTGAAGGAATGCTGCAACATGACGGTACATTAGGGGTTTCCAGGAAGGGAGAGCAGCTCCGATTACACATGACTGGCCATGTGTGCAGACGGCCTGGGAATCCCACTGGGATCTTCTATGCACAAGGACGCCAGCTCTCTGGCAGGATTTGGTTATTAGGACAGCAGCTGCCTGGTGGTGGGGTGAAGAGAGGAAACTCTGCCCTATTGCCAACCCCTGGCCTCGCTCTACTCCAGCAGGGTAAGGAAGTGGAGTGAGAGCTCTCAGCAGAGACCCACCAACTCAATCACTGGTACTGTCTTCGCTGTCTGAATACGCCCCCAACAGGCTGAGGGAAGAGCCCTGGGCTGCTGATGGGGGCTGGGTCACAGCAGGTAGTGAGGAGCTCCAACTTCCAGCATCTAGAAGCCAAACAGAGCAGGTTCAATCATTCACACCCCACACCCATGCCTGGAGAACAGAGAGCTGCACCTTATGGACGCCTGAGGAAACCAGGAGTTGGAGCACTCCTGCTGCTGCCTGGATGGGCACTGCCATGTTCTGGGCACCCACCGCAACCCCAGGCATTAGGACATGGAGTAAAACTGTTTCCTTGGCACCCTGCCTGAATCTCAATGAGGATTAAAAGGTCTGACATTGAGACGGTCGCATTTCTATGAAGGCTCTCCTCCTGCCCCCTGGTGGTGACATAAGAGAATGGAAGCCTGTGAGATACTTAAGCATAGGAAGAACAGGAGTACTTGTGGCACCTTAGAGACTAACAAATTTATTATGCATCCGAAGAAGTGGGCTGTAGTCCACGAAAGCTTATGCTCTAATAAATTTGTTAGTCTCTAAGGTGCCACAAGTACTCCTGTTCTTTTTGCGGATACAGACTAACACGGCTTCTATTCTGAAACCTGTCATTAAGCATAGGAGGCTTCCACCTAACTAGAAGAGGGGGAGGTGAGTCAACCCTCAGTCTAACACGGATGCTGTCTGTGAGGTGGCCTCCAGTGTGTGAAACTGTCTTTTGTGTAGAAGCTCTCAAGCTGGAAAAGGGGGGCGGAGGGAGTGGTGTGTGGATCACATAGGGAAAACATCATTCAACTGGGCCATTCATGAAACACCAGGTTTGGATCAGCAGCCAACGTAATCTTACATAGCACCTGTCATTCAAAAAGATTAACAAACTACCCAGAGGGCTGGGATCATTTCGCCCGCCATCAAAATGCAGCCACCTCTGCGATGGAACACAGCCGCTGTTCAACAGAACAAAGCAATCCCACGCAACGGTTTAGGACAGGAAGGAAAGAATGTTGTGTGCAACTGAAAGTGCAGGGGAGTTTGGGAAGGCAGAATAGCATAACCCAAATATCATATGCATCCGAAGAAGTGGGCTGTAGCCCACAAAATAAATTTGTTAGTCTCTAAGGTGCCACAAGTACTCCTGTTCTTTTTCCAAATATCACAGCATACAACAACCTCCCTGTACAGGAAAAGCAGATTTAACCAACTTAAAATGAAGACGGAAGATGGCTTCTGATCAGCTGCCTGTTGTTCATGTTACTGTAGCAAACAGCTGTGCCAACTGCCCCAACCTCACTGTATGTTTTGGAACAGCACAGTAAATTCAAACCCCATGCCTGGTCTCGCATTACCGTCTGTATTACTGTAGCGCGTAGGAGCCCGAGCTATGGGCCACGACTCCTTTGGGTTAGGCGTTATACAGACACAGAACAAACAGAGGAGCTCAATAATTTTATGAGCAATAATATCAATATATTTACCATGGTACTTCTACAGACTGGCACCATCATTGTATCCGAGCACCAAAATGTTAATATAGAAGTTGAGACACTGGCAATCGGCTCTCATGCTTCAGGGCACAAACTCTTTGCCAGAGTGGTCAGGAAGGAATTTTACTTCCCCATAACAATGCACTATGTGGGAGGCAGGAGAGAGGAGACTGCTTCCTCTCTGAAACACTGGGCATTGGCCCTACTGGAAATCCCAACGCCAGACTTGATGCCATTCTGACAAAGTTCTATTGGGTCATGAATTACTAAACTGCAACATATCATCGAAGACAACATAGACACACGAGATTAAACTGCTTGATGTCACCATCCTGTTAGAGACCACCTTGGTGGCCTGGAGTTAAGTGGCTAATCAGATCCTACATTGCCGTGCAAGTGAGACTGAACCAAAGTTACCTGAGCTTTGTTGTGTAGTTTGCTTCCCCACACCGTTAGCTGTGGTGGAGCCCGGGGTCTGTTTCTTCACAGTGACCAGGCCTGCCAGCTGGGACTTGCTGTTCAGTTTGCCCACACTCCTCTCCCAGCTTTCAGTCTTTAGCTTCTTACTCTGGGGCTCAGTATCCTATAGAAGGGAGCACAGATATTAACGTTCTCTGTCCTTGGAGCAGCTAGCGCGGGAAGAAAGACTATGCCAAATACTATACAACATCATCAAAATCAAGGGCGGTTTGGAGCTGCACACACAGAGGTATCATGTCACAGAGCAGCAAGGAGAAAGCCCCTCTCTGGATAGCTAAAGGGTGTGAAGAAAGGGTTTGGCTAGGATGGGATAGAGCATTGTTAGGTGCAGAAAGACGAAGTCAGCACAGGAAGATTCAGGCTGAATACCAGGGACAGCTTGCTGTCACAGAGATCGAGAAGGCCATGGAAGAGCCTCCCCAAGGGCTGATGCCCCGTTGCTTGGGGCATCCACCGCAAGCCTGGAAGACACTGGTCAGCGGGCATAGTTGTCCGTTGGCAGAGGGGTGATCCAGATGTGTGCAACAGGACTTTCCAGTATCCAGCTTCTGTGACCTCACGTGTTGGCTGCTGGACCAACCACTGGCTTCGACACACTAGTGACTAGATGGCTCAGGACTAGTACTGGGACAGGGAACATTTCACAGTTCAACTCCAGCCTGGCTTGGGAGTCACTTGAAAGCTTTCAGCAGCCTGCACGGTTTGACGGTCTCAGCGGACAGGGATTGACATCAAAAAGCGACATCTGCAATTGGCGCTAACTGGCCTGTTTGCTGGATCCTCTGTGGAGATTATACCAAGGATTGAGCTCCCTCCGCCTCAGAGCAATAGGCTGAGATCACGCAGGGGAGTGCCCTGCTGTGTATAAACACAGGGCTTCAGTCTTCAGGGCTGTCCAACTGGCATCTTCCACCACTTGCATTGATGTGATTTAGGATTAAACCATTACAATCCTTTCAAGTACAAATGGAGAACAGGGAGCAAAGCCGGCAGCAACGTGCTGACCACTGAACCATCATCAGGCATGACAGTAGGTGTGGGGGCTCTTAGCCGCAGCTCACCCCCATGGAGATGAGCCCCTCTGTTGGTTGATACAGGCTGAAGTTTACTTCGATCAAAACCTCTCATTTCTTTCTTTCAGTTTAATATACAATGAGCCACATTTTCTAAACTAGGCATGAAAAAGAGGCAATTGTGCCTCAAAGTCTCCAAAACAGGGGACTTCTAATGAGGTGTGGTTTGCTGGGTTTTAGTTTGTCCCCCTGTGGGAAAAATCTCCCATCTCGGAGAGCCATGCTGCTGGAAAAGCCCCTACCCCCAGGATTTACCTCCTGCAAGATGTCTGTAGGTTTCGTTTTCGGTCCTGATCTTGAGGGCACTTGGGTAGCTTCCTCATCAGAGTCAGAGTCTTCCAGGAATCGCCTGCTCTGGGCTTGTTCCAGCATAGCTCTGCAAATCAAAGGAATCCCCCAGAGAGGTGTAACAGAGTGACTTGATTACAGTCTATATTTGCCCAGATGGGCAACAAATATTTGATAAAAGGCTCTTCAATCTAGCAGACGAAGGTAGAACACAATCTAAGGGCTGGAACTTGAAACTAAAATTCAGACTGGAAGTAAGGTGTTAAATTTTTAATTGAGAGAATAATTAACCATTGGAACTATTTACCAAGGGTCAGTGGTGGATTCTCCATCACTGGTAACTTTTAAATCAAAACTGGATGATTTTTCTAAAATATCTGCTCCAGGAACTATTCTGGGGCAGTTCTCTGGCCGATATTATGCAGGAGGTCAGACTAGGGCAGAGGTGAGCAAACTACAGCCCGTCAGGACCTTGGATCCGGCCTGTGGGATTACCATCGTGGCACAGTGGGGCTAAGGCAGGCTCCCTGCCTGCCCTGGCCCCGTGCCGCTCCCGGAAGTGGCTAGCACCACGTCCCTGCAGCCCAGCCTTGAGACCCATGCCGCACCCCGCACCCCTCCTGCACCCCAACCCCTTACCCTTAGCCCCTTCCTGCACACTGCACTCCCTCCTGCACCCCAACCCCCTGCCCCAGCCCCACATTCCATGGCCCTGCATGCAATTTCCCCACCCAGATGTGACCCTTGGGCCAAAAAGTTTGCCCACCCCTGGACTAGGGAATGGTCTTCACTATGGGGAGATTGCTGCTGCAATCGATGCAGCAGGGGTCGATTTAGCAGGTCTTGTGAAGACCCACTAAAATCGATGGCAGACTGCTCTCCGGTGGACCCCAGTACTCCAGCTCTTCCAGAAGCATAAGGGAAGTCGACTGGAGAGTTATTCACGTAGCTGGAGTAGCATAACTTAGGTGAATTTACCCTGGTAGTGAAGACAAGCCCTAGATGATCTCTGTGGACTTTTGGCCTTGGAGTCAAAAACCATCCACCTTCATGAGACCTGCAGAGAACCGGTGTTGTCCTGCACACACTGTAGTTCTGATATGTTACAACTGAGCTGGGACAGGCACTCTGCCAGAATTCAACAGCTCCACAGAGCTGCCAGACAGCATCTTCCCTTCCCAGTGTTAGCTGTTACAGCTTGGCAGGCTTGGAATCCGTGCAGCACTCCAAGTCTCCTTTTTAGGTGCAGTTCAGTGCTGCTGAAAGGTCTTTCATTTAGCCCCAGAATAATACCATAGACACTGTGGTAGGGGTTCTCCCCACACCCTGACACAAAGGTACTCTAGCCCTACACCCTGGAAGAGGCCTCCTCTCAAGGAGAGTTCAGTCTCAGAGGCCAGCTCAGTCTCTGATCTCTTTGCCGAAAATGTCAATTGGGACCGTGATTTTTGGCATGCAAACACCTCCCCGTGGAGGAACAGGTCACTTATATTTCCCTTACTTCTTTCAGTATTAGGGCCACCACTCCTCATGTGTGTCCTTTACCTGTATGTCTAGATAGGTCGGACATCAGCCATCCTACTAGATCTCCTCACATCCCAATCCACACTACAGCCCTACCATGCACAAATCCCACCACCGCAGATCGCAAGCGTTACCCTCCTTTGGATCTCTGGCACTGTCCCTCCCATTAAAATACTGTGGGGGGTGTTAAGACGACTGCCCAGCCCACAGGGGGCAGCCTGGAAAGTGTCACATATCCAGGCGTGACCAGAACTCAAAGATGAGCAACGTTTCCAGCCGACTCACTTCATCTCCGTCTCATCCTCCTCTAGCTCCCTTCGTTTCCGCTCTTCCTCATAGTCCTTATACTGCTTCAGCATGGATTCAAAGTCCACATTTGCCTGACGCTGGTTCAGCTCCTTCAGCTCTTGCAGGTTCTCCAGAACCTCCATCTCCAGCTTGGAGTCCTTCGTCCGGTTCTCCAAAACCTAGCGGGGAAAGCGGGAAAGCCCTTGAAGTACTGGGTAAGCCACACCGACAACTCAGGAACTGTATTATAGAATTATAGACTATCAGGTTGGAAGGGACCTCAGGAGGTCATCTAGTCCAACCCCCTGCTCAAAGCAGGACCAATCCCCAACTAAATCATCCCAGCCAGGGCTTTGCCAAGCCTGACCTTAAAAACCTCTAAGGGAGGAGATTCCACCACCATTCCAGTGCTTCACCACCCTCCTAGTGAAAAAGTTTTTCCTAATATCCAACCTAAACCTTCCCCACTGCAACTTGAGACCATTACTCCTTGTTCTGTCATCTGCTACCACTGAGAACAGTCTAGATCCATCC